AAAAATATCACCCCACTACATCTAAAAGATAAAGGCAATTTGCACCATAAAATAACACCATACACACGGCTTACGTACAATTCTGTTGGTCTATTATTTCAGGATACATTATGACACTGTTATGTTAAGGAAACATTAGCAGACTTATAAGATCAGCGCATCAAAAAGTTTTTGCATAATAATAATACTCTGCCGCTGTTTTCTCGAATGAGGCTATAAATGAGGACTATCGGCTGGCACCCATAAGATGTTAAAAAACCAAACATCTAGAATAACTATGAGGATGAAGGAAGCTTAAATCAGAAATGAGTGGATTAGATGGTTGGAAAATTATCAAATGAAAGGGAAAGCGATAATGAAACAGAAAATGATCAAACTACTATGCTTCAGATTGCAGCATCCAGGTTGACTGTGGAAATGCAGATTGCGAAGGTAGTATTCCTCAAATGCAGTAGTGCATGAAAACTTGAAGCCACTCTTTTATGTTAAAATAACGCAAAAATCATTTTTGAAGAAACAAAAAATGAGACAAAAAAAATGAAAAACAAAAAAAAGGAAATGAAAAACTTGTTACTTGTTTGATTATATTTTGATTATATTTTATAACTTTTTTGATTATATTTTATAGCTCTGGCGAAATTTCATTTTTTTTTTTTTGAACAAAAAATGAAATTTCGTCAGAGGTATAAAATATAATCAAACAAGTAAGAACTTTACTACGGAGTTTAAAAGAACTGGCGGATGGTATGAAAATTTTATAATGATAAATGTGCAATTTTGCAAGAAAATGAGAAATTTAGCTAAACGCAAGATTTTTTAAAGACTGCGTGGATTTCAACTAAACAGTACAAGACTTTGCCAAAATGAAACGATGAGGATTAAAATCGGTTGCACAGTGCCAAACTGTGCTATAAAGAATCCAGGAAAGCAATATTTAACGGCAAAAGCCTAAAAAACATTATACTGGAAAGATAGAGATCAAAATGCAAAAGTTTACTTACCAAGAAAATGTGTGATGTCTTGGGTGAATTCGAATTTTCCTCGAAAATCAGGATCCACGCAAGTTTTTGGTAGGACAATTTCCGAAATGCAATTCTCAATTAAACGAAAATAATTTGCCCTGAAAAAAAAAAATAAAAAAAAACTGAATTTAATTATGCAATAAAACATGTCGCCAACACGCCTAGACTGAGTCTCCGCCACTTCTATATATCTAGAAGCCAGGTCAGAGCTACGTTTGGTACTGAACCACAAGCAAATATCGCTTTTTTCCGCTGAAAACCTCCAATCGACATACTTTAGCACTGATTGTTACTAGTGCATGCTGTTACAGCCAAAACAAACATTAATTTTATGCGAAAAAAACCCTCGGAAACCGAGACAGGTAGTCTTGTCAGAGCGTTTTCGCCTCTGATATGTACTATCCCCTGGATTATTTCCACATTTTTGGAGGGTGAACTATGAAGAGGTTTTTGATTTTTCCGGAAAATGATCACTTACTTCACTTCGGCATCATCGGTTACTAGCAGAAGATGCTGTAGGATGCTCAGGAACGGTGCTTCGGCTCGGGTTTTCTTTACACCAGCCATTAAAATATTGTAACAGCCATCTGGCTCTTCATATTCGCCTTTTCTGAAATACCAAATTTACAGTTAATCGATGAGCCACTAAAGCTAAGGTGCTGGGAATATATGCACTTGGAATCCGATAATCAAAAAAACAAAAAAACCTTCACCATATCCGCTCTCACTGAAGGGGGGAGGCATTCCGCTGGCAAGGCTGTCGATGGCTTCCTCTTTCGAAAATTGCTTACAAGCAAGCTGATGGTGAGTTTGACCAACTGGCAATTAACACGACCATTGGAGTCGAATCTTGCCGCACTATGTTTGCCGGAACTCTTTTATATGAAGCCAGAGCATCTATACTGCCAAGATGTGCTAGGCTGAAGCCAGGACTGATCAAATATCAAAGCAAGTACGGGCTTCAAGAAGCGCAAAAAGTCTCTTATCCTTACATCTGTTCAAAGCGGTTCACCAATTCGTCAAAATCGGCTGCTTTTACACGGCAGAAATTATCATACTGCTTTTTGACTGCTTCCAGTGTACAGCTTTCCAAGAACTGCAAAGCAAATTAACTTCGGCAACAATATATTCATTTTGAAAAAAAACTAGAAATGGTTCATTTTTGCAAGATTTATTATATTTTCGGGTATGTTTTTTCTAATTTTTTTTTTAATTTCAGTTTTTTAAATACTTTAAAGGTAAAAAAGAAAATATCAGGAGAAGATGGAAACAGTGAAAGGGTGGAAAAGAAAAGGATATTAAAATAGGTAAGGGGCCTAAAGAAATGTTTGTTATAGGTAAGAAATGTTTCGGTCCATTAAGTCGTATATATTTCATACCATGGTACTTTCTTGAATTAAAGACTGTAAAATATTACTACACTCCAAAAGTATACTTTTTTCAATTGTTATTCGAACCCTCTGCATACTAAACTACTTATATCAAAATGTTCCCCGCAACATCACCAATAAAGGATCCCGTCACAATGTTCCGGATGAGCTTGAAATTCTTACAATATCGATGCATCAAACAGCCCGTCATTCATTATAGAGCTTTTTGTTGCTTTTAAACAGAAATTTTTTTCACAATTGGAAGTCAAAAAATCTACGATACAAGAAAAAACAGTCCTCTCGGAAGATTTTGGAAAAAAGACAGTATGCCACTCATCCGAAGACAAAGAGCTCAGGGGAAAAGAGCCTAGCACAGCTACGCCTTGAGCGCAAAGCTATCCCAGCTCTGTCTCCGATCAACCTAAGTGGTGATGGTATTTTTTGCCGTTTGCATTCAAATTCGATCACATTTCCTCCTCTCCACTTCACTTATCAGTAAGTCAATAATAATGACAATAATAATAATAATAATAATAATAATAATAATAATAATAATAATAATAATAATGATAAAAATAATAATGATGATGATAGTAATAATAATGATAACAATAATAATAATAACGACAACAACAATAATAATAATAACAATAACAATAATAACAGTAATAACAATAATAACAATAATAATAATAGTAATAATTTTCAGCAACAAACCTGGACGCAATCATACATACCGGCACGCATAAATTCACTTCTCCAGTGCATACGAATCTGCCAAGCCCCTTCGGCGGATGCCCGTCCCTCCTCTGTTGTTGCATCTTCTGGCTCCGGTACATCCAACATCACGTTGATCAAAGTCATCGCTTTCTTCTAAAAACATCAATTTTTTTCAAAATAACTCAATTATAAAACTTGCCCCAAAAATGCTAGAAATGGAACTGATGATGCCAAAAGAACAAAATGCTTTTTTGAATGCATCAGTGCTA